AGTTACGTCAGGTTGGTCACTGGTCGTTCTGCCTTACTTTGCACCTCAGGGCACTTATGGTCAGTGCTGGATTCCTCTCCTCTCCTCTCCTCTCCTCTCCTCTCTCTGTGTCTCTCTGTCTCTGTCTCTCTGTCTCTCTGTCATAGCATCTCCTTATATAGTCTGGAGAGCCTTGAACTCACTGAGTAGCCCAGGCTGGCCTTGAGCTCTCAATATTCCTCCTGTCTCAGCCTCTTGAGTGTCAGGATTAGAGGCCTCGGCCACAATGTTCAGCTCATGCAGTTTTCTCAGGTCCCATCCAAGCACCCTGAATCATGATTTCTGTCAGGACACAGAAGTTTTTATTTGTACCCGGTGCCCTGTAGTGGGTAGTCATTCCAGCTTTGACCTGGAAGTTCCAACCCCCACTGAGGCTTCGGTAATGGTCACGCCTACAAGGCTGAGAGAGGATGCTGAAGAGCTGAGTTCCGGATGCGGGGGCTCTCTTGGTTCCTGGACCCTGGATGGTGTAGGTAGACTGAGCAGAGTTCTCCAGAGAACACCGCCGGACTGCGCCATGCCTTTCCCAGACCCTGAGACCTACCTATCCCTTCATTTGTAAGTTACGCCCCTAAATAAACCTCCCTTTTAACTACGTGGAGTGGCCCTAATAATTTCACCAATAGTGCCCCCTCATGATCCCAAGTCCAGTGGTCCACAGAGCACTGAGGAATGAATGGTGTGGGTTTCACCGTGGGTTCTTCCCTTAGTCTAGCTGCTATGATGGGATCCCACAGATGGGGCTCATACATGGCTGGCATCTCTTTCTCAGTAATGCAGACCTGGGGAGCCTCAGACACGGTGCCAGAAGATTTGGTGTGGTGAGGGCTCACATCCTGGTGTGATGAGGGAGGGTTCCCACGAATCCTCATTCAGCTCTCTGGGGTCCATCTCCCAATCTTTGCTGACTCTAGCTCTTTGTCTATGAGGCTGACCCTGGTAACATCACCACTTAGGGGCTGAGGATCCCAGTGTTGTTTTAAGAGTTCTTTGTGTATTCTGGACACAAGGTCTTTGTCAGACATGATTTGTAAATGTTTTCTTCCACTCTGTAATTTGTATTTTTCATTCCTTTTTACCGGATTTTTCACAAAGCAAATATTTCTAATTTTGATGAGGCCCACTGTATAAATTTTTCCTTTTATGGATTGTGCTTTGGGTCTTGAATCTAAAAACTCTACTCCTAGTTCCCCCCTCCAATTTTTTCCTGTGATGTGTTCTTTTCTAGGGGTTTTACAGTCCCATGCTGTTTCAGTCCAGGGTCCATTTTGATCTGTTGGGTGTAAGGCGTAAGGTTCAGGGTGAGCGGCCCCAGGAATGTTGGGTAAAAACCAGTCTTTCCTCCACTGGCTTACGCTTTCTCTTGAGCCACCATTCAGAATACATGAGCATTCCCAGTTTGTTCAGTCATTTGCTGTGTGGCTAAGGCTGCTCCACCTCCACTTCCCAACTGCTGGGATCACAAGTGTGCACACACCCAACTTACATCTGGGTTCTGTTCCATCCATCTTCTCGCCCTCCCTCCTCCATGCACACTGTCTTGATGCTGTGGCTACATACAAATGTCAGTGTTGGGAAGAATGCTCCTTTCTACAGTATCCTCCCCCAACCCCGCTGGCCATTTCCTTTCCTTATAAATCTGTCTAATCCCGCCCAGAAACCTGTTGAGATTTTGACAGGAGTTGCTTTGGTCCAGGTCAGTTTTAAGAAAGGACTGTGTGTTTTCTTCAGCCCCAGAACCTGACCCTGGGATACACAGTCACATCCAGCCAACGCAAACACCTTTCTGGTTGCAGGAAAGAGACTCCACATGGAACAGCTCTGGCGGTGCAGACTGGCTAGTGAGCTTTGTTCTACCTACACTCCTGGAGTCTGAGCAGATTCAACCCCACATGGGCTTCTTCAGGGCTGGCAGCAGCTTCCTGGGACTCAGAAGCTGTCTTTAGGGGAACAGCATTGATGTCTTCAGAGTCAATGCACTGTTCCTTGTGAGAGCCAGAGGGTCAGTTCAGTAAAATCCATCTTCGCCTCTGCCTTGCTGGGAGGATGGTTTTGTCAAAAGCCTTCCAAGCTACCTTTCCCGCTCTGGATCCCAAGGCTTTTCCCCAGGGCCCAGAGCAAGCCCTCAGTGCCAGAGCCTCCTCTTCCCGCACCCTGCTCGGCCCTGCCACCACATCCTCCGGCAACCCTCATTTCTCAGTCTGTCTTGTTTTCAGTCAGTGACCAGACGTCATTCACTAACCTTCATTTCAGTCCCTCATCCAAAATGTAACTCAGACTTTTTTTTTTTTTTTGAGACAAGGTCTCACATAGGCCCCACCAGCCCTTGAATTCCCAATCCTCCTGCCTCCACCTCCACTCCCAAACACAGGTATGTGAGGCTGCATGCTGCTCGGTTCTGTGCAGTTTCTAAGAGTTCTTTACCTGGGGCAATCACAAGATTTGTGAAGAAAGGCCCTGCGGGGCGGGAGAATCGTATCCATTGAACAGTTAACTGTACCAGTTAGCGAAGGATATGATGTGGTTTAAGTTTGTTCTTCAAAAAGTGTGTTCTGGACACTTAATCTCGAACAGTAATCCCAAGCGTGTTCGGAGGATTTAAAGGAGCTAGTAGGTAAACTCTTCCATGTGTTCAAAAGAGGCTTCATTTACTCATTGTAATAACTTTTTAGATAATGTAGCCTGGGCTGGCCTTGAACCCTTGATCGCTTTCTTCCTAGCCTAGAGCTGGGATTGGACCTGGTGCCTAGCTCCCAGTGTCTTCATTACTGTGGTAGTACATTCCTTCACCAGAGATTTACTTCCCCGCCTCGGGGCCTTCTGCCCCGGGGGGCTGTACAGCCAGGCTGCCACTGCAGCAAGACACCTCTCCCCGTCCCGCTGGCCCCTTCGTTTTGGATTTCTGGGCCATCAGAACTGTGAACCAGTACATTTCTGTTTATTATAAAGACCTGGAGTGCTCTGTTGATGCAAGTGAGTTTCACGTAGCTGCCTTTCTCACCTTCCAACTCCCGGGGCTTCCCCATTAGGAAACTGGTGAAATCCCCAGGCACCTCTGGCTCAGGAAATGACTTCATCCCAGCCCAGAGAAGACTCCCTCCTCCCCTACCCACCTATTGCTCACCCCTCCTCTCCTCTGTCCACTACCCCTTGCCACTCATACTGGCGTGTGCCCATGCTAATGCAAAGCATAGCTGTGGTCTGCTCTTGTCCAGTTAACACTAGGTGAGCCGACCGCATGATGGGGCCTGAGGGCTGGAACCCAGAGCTGACGAGGGTGGAGGAGTGCAGAGCTAACCCAGCAGCTGGGCTGTGCACATCCTCTTAATATGGGGAGAGCCCCAGCTTCCCTACTTGGGGATCACGGAAGCCTGGGGTAGGTCTCGGGGCTATAGAAATGAGTGTACTCATGGGACTAAGGACATCCATTGTCTGTTCTTTGCTGAAGTCATTCCTCAAGTCAAATCGAGAATCAGTCATGTTTCCTTCCTGCAGCTGCCCCTGCTCTTGAGATAGGGTCTCTCTCACTGCGCACCCCAGACTGGCCTCCGGATGTGTGGAGATGAAGCTGGGCTTCTGGTCCCTTTGCTTCTCTACCTCCAGCACCACCTCTGGTGCTAGAATTACAGGCACGCTGCCACAACCTGTCTCTGCAGTGGTGACGACACACTCTGCCATCTGAGTGCTACCCCTAGCCCAAGGGACTTGTGTTTGCTAAGCGCAGAGGGGCCCCGGGTTTCCCAGCTCCATGGCTCAGTCCTTGCCCCCAGACACCACAGATTAATTGCAGAGTTACAAGCTCTTGGCCATCACTGGGCTTGCATCTGTCAGGGCTTCTTCTGCAGACACTGGTCCCAGCTGCCGCTTGAGGATGGCATCTCCCTTAGAGATCTGCCTGGCCTCTGTTCCAGGGCTGCAGGGATGAAAGCGGTTTTCAAGTCCTTGGCTTTTTTGAGATGAAGTGTGGAACTTCCAGACTGAATACAACCAAAAAACCCTTCTAACGGCAATTGCCAATGCTTCCTGTGTGGCAGCAACAAACGCCCCTTCTGGCTGCTGCCCTGGCTGCCTGTGGAACTCCTTCAGGCTCACAGGGGAGGCTGGGCTGCTGTGGGGGTGGGAGCTTCCTGTCTATCAGCTCGAGCTCCAGAGCACTTCCTGCAAACCCCTTCCTGCTTCTGTCTGTGGCAGTGCAGGGCTGCCATTGTTGCCCTTCGCAGACCAGTCTGCCCTCTTCCTGAGGAACCTGTGGCTTGTTGAGGCTTCCGACCCCGCGTTCACCGGTGTTTAGTCAGCGGGTCATCTGCTTTCAGTGACGGATGCTCTCTTCAGAACCGCAGCTCCTCTTTCATTTAGCAAGCGAATGGTTGTCTTTCGTCTTTAACGCCCATTTTAAATCTCAGCTGCCAAGGCGGGCTGATTAATAGTCCTTTAATAACGAAGGTAATAAATAAGCTATGGTTCAAAAGTGCATTTTCTGGCTTAGGAATGCAGCCCAGTGGGAAAGTCCTGGCCTAGATTCCTGAGGCCCTGGGTTCGATTTCTCAAAGCTGCGAAGAATAAATGCCTGGAGTGGGTAGAGTCTTTCACACCAACCGTGTGCCCACTCTCTTAAATTCTTCAGTTGGTAGTGTCAAATCCAGATTTCTTTTTCTTTTGTTCCTCCTTCTCCTCCCTCTTTCCTTTCCATTGTTTCTCTCTCTCTCTCTCTCTCTCTCTCTCTCTCTCCCCCCCTTTTTTTTGTTCAACAAGGTCTCTTCTGACCAGGTTGGTCTCATCCTCACTACATAGCTGAGGATGACCTTGAACCTCTGATCCTCCTGCCTCCAACACCCTGTCCTAGGATGACTCTCCCCCCCCCCCCACCTCCCCGCAGGCACTATCACACTCACTTTCAAATCAAAATTTCAAGAGGCTTCTCATTATTGAGTTCCAGTCAGGAACTCTGTCTCCCCCGGGTCTTCGTGAGAGTCATCCTAAATGGCTGGGATGGGGAAGGCTGGCAGGGCCGGCCAGGGTCTCACCCTCAGATCTCGCAGCAGGGTGAAGAGGTCGTAGTGTGGGAATGGGACAGGGGCGCTCCAGTGTGAAGGCTCCAGTTGTACAGATGATCTGGAGACAGTTGTTCCCCTCCCTTTGTCTACTGGTTTATTGAAACCGTGGTCTGTGAGCAATGAGATTCATGTAGGGGTCTGATGCTGGAACAGAGAAAGAACAGGGCTGTGGCTGCTCCAGCGGTGGATCTTATCTCCTAGAAAGAGATCTCACGAAGTTCTGGGAACTTGTCTGACCACCTTGCGGGAGAACCTGAAGCCAGACAGTGATGGTGGGTGCGATCATACCTCCCCAAGACCGCTGAACTCTTCACACGCCTTACCCTCTATTTAAAACCTCAAGTCAGGACTCCAAAGATGGACCCAGGGAGTAGCTGGACCTCTTTCCTCCTTCTCCCAACGTGGCTTCATGGAGCAAATCCCCATGCTCTGTCTGATTTTCACTATTACCCATCTAATTGTTATATTGAGAATGGGATTTGATGGCCATACCACCCTGAACTCTCCTGATCTCTTCTGATCTCAGAAGCTAAGCAGGATTGGACCTGGTTAGTACTTGTGTGGGAGAATAAAGGGCCCAGCCCAGTGAGTGCTTCCAGCACCAAGGCCATCTCCAGGACCCTAGCAACCCCGGTCTTCTGTCTTCTCCTTCTGTCTTCACACTGTCTGTCTCCTGCTCCCTTTCTCCCTCAGGGTAAACCACAGAAATTAGAATTTCTCTTCTGCAAAGGGTCTGGAGGTGTAGCTCAGCTGACAGACTGCTTGCCTCGTATGTACAAATCCCTGAATTCTTGCTGGGATTCACCCATGTTCCTGGCATTACTCTGGAGGTGGAAGCAAAGAGGGTCGTGAGTTCAAGATCATTTTTGGCTCTAGAAACCTGAGCCCCCTTTCCACAACACTAACCACCAGGCTTAGGAACAACTCCCTGAAGTCCCCCTTTCTGCCTCCGTCTTGGAGCTGACCCTAGAGACGGTCCCAGGCCTCCTTCGTCTGATGAACTGCAGCAACCATGAGACCAGAAGAAGTTGATTTCAGGAAGGGAACTTGTTATAAACACAGGGGGAGGGACACTGGACAGGCCTTGCTAGGTCCCCCAGTCCATCTGTTACAGTATGTCGATATTATTCCTTTGTTGCCCGATCACAACTCTACATGTCTGCCCAAGCTTCACCTATTTATGAAAAAGGATGATTCACTTTGACTTTTTGGGTCTCAGCGTGAAGACTCCGGTGTCAATAACATTGGAATCAAATTAACTTTTTTTTTTCTTGTTCACTTACTTGGAGAGACAGCTGTTGAAGGTGAAGTTCAGGTGAAGGCCGGTTGAGATTCACTCAAAAGCCTGGCTGTGACAGCCTGTACACGGGTCTGAGCCGTCTCCTCACACAGGAACTAGGGATAAAGACATCAGCATCAGCGTGATGATGAATATGAATTAGGAGTTGTTAATTAATGGGATTACATTGCTAACAGTCCACGGAGTCTGCTAAATGGGCAAAGGAATTTATTTTGGAAAGAAAACTCACAAGACAAAATAGAAGAATTTGTCACAGGATCCTAGAAGGCTGAGGCACGGTCCAATGCTGTTCTCTGGTGAGATCTGCCCTGGTCTGTCTCAGCATCCAAAACCACCAGGTAGCGAAGAGAGAGCCCCCTATTTGCATCCCAGGTCCCTAGCAGCCACACCTCAAGGTCATAGGCAGGTGTAACAGTTTCCTGCCACCTCACTAGGGGTGGTGCTTCAGAGCGTGGTGAGAACAGCTACCCACTACAGTTAATATTGGAAACGTGCTTGGCATGTGGCAAATACTGGATCCATGTTAGTTTTGATATTAGAGTGTTGGAATTGGGAGGGAGTGACAGATCGTAAGAGGGAACTTTCCCTAGTGTGTCCCAGCTGAGCCTCTGCTAAGGTCTGTTAATTTGGGGGGGTGGGGGGGGTAGGGACTTCTCTCAGGGGATTAAGAATCTCCCCAGAGGGTTTCCCTGTTTTTCCTTCCTGCCCTTTCAAACCCAAGCCCAAGCCTGCTTCTCCCTCTCTAGTCTCATAAAGACTCACGTTTATGACCTCTAAACTTGGCTACTGCAGCAGACTCTGTTTCCAATACTTCACATTCTGAAGTGTGAGGGGCTGAAGTGTGAATACATGGAGGGATGCACAATTCACCCCCTGATGCTAACCCAGCAGAGCTGGTTGGAGGGGAGGAGAACTAGATGGATTGGTACCCCAAGAGCACAGCACTGCTGAGGAAGGGTGTCTAGGTTTCCTCTGTGCCCTCCACAGTCATAAGATAGTGTTCTTCAGGTTTCTATTGCTTCGACAAAACACCATGACCAAAAAGCAAGTTAGGGAGGAAAGGGTTTATTTGGCTTACACTTCCACATTGCTGTTCATCATAGAAGGAAGTCAGGACAGGAACTCAAACAGAGCAGGAACCTGAAGGCAGGAGCTGATTTGGAAGCCATGGAGGGGTGCTGCTTACTGGCTTCTTCCCCATAGCTTGCTCAGCCTGCTTTCTTATAGAACACAGGACCACCAGCCTAGGGTTGGCCCCACCCACCATGGTCTGGGCCCTCCCTCATCAATCACTAGTTAAGACAGTGTCCTACAGGCCTGCCTAGAGCTGGATCCTAAGGAGGCATCTTCTCAAGTGAGGTTCCCTTCTCTCAGTTAACTCTAGTTTATCACGTTGACATTAGACCAGTTAGCACAGATAGTATCTTAAAATTTTAAGGAAATGAAAAAGAAAAGCTCAAAGTTATCATCTAAAGATCTTACATCGAGAGGCAGGCGACGTTCAAAACTGAAACTCTCACAGCACCCGTGGGAGTGAGCCTGAAGAAAGGGAAGCATGTGTCCGGGAGTTCTCACGTGAAGAACTGGAGTGGGAAGAGGACAGTGCCAAGATCGAAAAGAAGCTAAGCATGGCATGTGTTCCTCCCCAAAATTCCAAGGGTAACTAAGGATTTTGGACTTTGTTAGAATACAGACAGCTCAGCTAGGTAGAGTTCTTGCTCAGCATGCACAGAGCCCTGGGTTCCATCTGCATGCTGGTATATGTCTTTGCTCAGCATGCACAGGGCCCCGGGTTCCATCTGCATGTTGGTGTACATCTTTGCTCAGCATGCACAAAACCCTGGGTTCTATCCGCCTGCTGGTGCACATCTCTGATCCCAGCACTCTAGAGATGGTGGCAGGAGAATTAGAAGTTCAAGACAATCCATGAATTCAAGTTTGAGATCAGACTAGGCAGCCTCAGACCGTGTCTTAGAAAAAGGAAAGGCAGAGCAAGAATGAGGCAGGGCAGACATGCGCGCAGGCAGAGGTATCTCCTAGCAGAGAGCTGCAGCAGCAACTGTCCGATTTGTTCTGATGAATGGCTAGAACAATGTTCAAATCCTAAGAGCAGATCAAGGGATGAGCAAACAGAACGGAGTCAAACTTGGCTGAAGTGATAGAAACCATAAACTGTCTTAAAAGAATTCAATCCTTCAAACCAGAGTTCTGATTTTTTTCCCCTCATAGAAGTCCTGTCTTAGGCTTCTTGGACTGGACAGTCTCAGCTGAAACTACTCACTGTTACAGTGAGAAGCAGCCCTTGGCACTTTGAGAGTGAAAAGTCATGGCTGTGTTCCAATCAAACTTTATTTACCACACTGGGCAGCTGGCCAGGCGTGGACTGGGCAGGGATCTGCTGTACTGAACTGTAGTTCTCTGCATTAGCACAGTGTTAACTCAGAACACAAGAAACCCGCTGCAGATGTGATGCAGAATCTCTCTGAAGGTTGTCTCTGAGGAACCCCCGCAAGGAGCAGGAAGTCCTAAAAAGAGGACACAAGGTTGGAGTTGGGGGTGGGGGCCGTGAGATGAGGGGCAGACCTAGGAGGAGTTAGGAGGAGGAGGAGGGAGGGAGTATAAAATAATGATTGGAAACTACAGCCACCATTCCAGCCCAGATTTCTGAGCAAATGGCTAAAGCGCCCCAGTCCATAGATGTTGTTGAACAATGTCTTTGCATTGTTTGAGGTTTTCAGTGGTGAACACAGAAGACCCAGGGCCCTTACTCTCAAGGAATTATTGGTTTCAAAAGAAATCTTGTAAAAAGTAATCGCCAATGAATTAAAGATCCTGACCAGCAAAGGTGGGGGCAGTACAGATGCAGGCTAGAGTGTCCAGTTTAGTTAGGAGGGACTGCAGAGGACTCTGTAAGAATTCGGGTTCCACGCTTCAGGAAGGGAACATGGTAAGAGTTCATTACCCACGTGGGGTGCCACACCTGGTTCTTATGTGGGCACTCAGGTCTGCACGCATGGCAGGAACTTTGGCTCCTCTTGGAGATGTGACTCTATTCGCATTGTCGCCCTTTACAGCACAACGTTGGGCAACAAGAGCCATAGTCAACGACCTTCCCTAGCCAAGAGAACAGCACACAGTAAAACTGCCATTCGCCTGACACCGCCTGGCCTCCCCATCTGTCAAGGCGGAGGATGCGAGACCTGGCGGACTCCCTGTCGGGGCTGCACAGAAGAATCTACACGAGGTGGGCAGTTGGACGTTCTTCCGCCTGCCATGCCCCGCCACCCTCACACTCTACAGCTGCCATTTATTATTTGCTGTTGTTCACAAAGGGGCAGGAAACAAAGTTTTCAGTGGTTTTTTTGTTGGGGTGATGCCCCTCCCAGAATGCCACCTGTTAGTAAGTCATATGTGGACTTCCTACTCCTTTGTTCTGCCACAGGCAGCTCCCCCAGGAGCTCATGAAGATGTGCTAAGACTCCTTAAATTACCTTCTCCAGCTTGGTGTCCCATGTGACCAGAGAGCAGTCTAGTTGGATGGGATCCTTGGGGCAAGCTAGCTAGACCAGCTGAATTGGTGAGTGAGCTCTAGATTCAAGCGAGAGAACTTGCCTCTATCAGTAAGGTTGAGTGAGGACGAGGATGACACTTGATATTAACCTCTGGCCTCCACACATGAGCACACACACGCACATCCGCACTGCATAGTCTAGCAAAAAAAATCTTGATATTTGTTCAATGACTTGACTTTCGGAGACCACTGCTAAGCTCATGGGCTCACTCGCTTTTTCAGCATGATCCCTCTTTTGAAGTTCCGTCCTTCTAGCCCCGGCACACTGCTCGGATGAAGCACCTTAGTTAGGTGAATAGGAGGATGGCGGCAGAAGTGAGGAACGTCCAGTTCAAACTCCTTCTGAGACTCTGGCGCTGAGGATGGAATTCCCCAAGCTGGACTCTGCCCAGCGTGCCAGGCTTAGGTTATTGGGTAAGAGGACATTAGAAAAATGAAGTTGGCAACTGACAAAATGTTTTCATAACGTGGAAGTGAGTGACCTTGGGTTTATTTTCTTTTAAAAGCCTGTTCTGGCAGAAGCATGCCATGGTATACTGCAGAGCCAGGATCCCACAGGGGTAGCAGCAATGCTGGGCAGCTGCGGGGTATTTCAGAGCAATCAGCGCTGGGCAGCTGCGGGGTATTTCAGAGCAATCATTTCTTGGCATCTATCGTGTTTAAGAACAGAACAAACTGATGTGCTGCTTCATTTTGCCAGCGTTCGGCTCCTCCTTTTGAAGACCGTCCAGTGATCAGGACCGCCTCTCTTCCACGCTCCGTCAGCTGGGGTGCCGGGATCAACACCTGTGAACGCAAGAAAAGCCCACTGAATCCCTGTCTTCCTTCTCCTGTTAGCTTCCCCGTATAACACTGTTTTCCACAGAGGTGGACACTGGTGAGCTATCACAGGCCATCACACATTCCCAACATGTTCCATGTCACATTCTGGGATTTTGCAAAGCCGTATCTGTGTCACGCTGCTCTAGGGTGGCTCACACTGTTTGCCCAGTTCTTGACCATGCATTGGAGGATCGGGTGATGACACAGGGGGCTGATGGGGGCGAGCTGCAGGTTTTTCTCCACGTGGATATGAGAAGTGGAAGGAAGCTATGATGTCCTCCCCCCTTGTTTTTATTTTTGAGACTGTCTAAATAAAAAAGCACTGAATATGACATCAAGGGAGTGTGTGTATGTGTGTGTGTGTGTGTGTGTGAGAGAGAGAGAGAGAGAGAGAGACAGAGACAGAGACAGAGAGACAGAGAGACTGAGGCACAGTTCGAGAGAATCAGCTTCCAGCAAGACCTAAGACTGCTGCTGCTGTGCACAGGCTGGGAGTTCCGGCAGGAGGCGCACACTTGTCCAGTGCTGAGAGCTCAGTGTCTTTTCTCTTCCTCCGTTCAGCTCGGTCTTCGCCAAGCGCCCCCTTTCAGAGGCCCTCAGCCCTGGTGCGCTCTCGGCCTTCTGTCCCTCAGCCACTCCAAGCCTCTCTTTGCTACTTGTAACTGACAAGTGTTGGCGGTTACTGGCCGGGGATGGTGGACCCACTTCCTGTTTCCTTTTAAGCATCAAGTGAAATACTGAAAGTGTGTAATGCTCATGCTCAGAGCCCTAGTGGGAAGTGTAACCGGCTGCTACCAGATCCCACTCTGGGAATCAAACCAGAAGCTGAGCCCATTGACTAGAGGGCAAACACCCATTTCTTTGAAGCCTCTCCAGCGAGGGCACAATGAGCCACCACATTACAAGCAGCACCCTGAGTTATTCAGGCGCTGGCGTGGAGCCATTCACATTTCCATACCCGAACGTTCAACTTTCAGCGAAATGTGCTGTTCGGAAACCTGCTCAGCCATGTGGTCCCCACGCCCCTGCCCCGGTATTCTCTCCTCCAGTTCTGTCCTCCTGGGATGCTGGAATCTCAGCGACATTATAAAGAGATACAAATAAGAGGGAGTTTAGCTGGGTGGCGGTGGCGAGCGAACACTGTTCGCACCAGACCCAGGAGGCAGGGGTAGGCAGACCTCTGAGTTCAAGGCCAGCCTGGGCTACAGAGTGAGCTCTGGGAACCAACCAAACCAACAGAAAGGGGTGAGCCTGTGTGAGAGATGTGACCTGTACTAGACTTTATAGGAATTATCCCAATAAATATCCACCAAGGACATGCTCTACACCAGAAAAGTTTCCTGGTGCTGAGAGTACACGAGAAAACACAAAAATCCTGCCATGGTGGAATCTACTTGCCGAAAGGAAATAGGACATGGAGATGATGACAGATGCTACAGCCGAAATGAAGTTCTGGTGGGGCAATCAGGAAACCGACAGTCTTGTCAGGAATAGATGCAGCATTTCCATAAAACAGTCTGCCTGGAGTGGTGGCAGACGTCTGTAATCCCGGTGCCAGGGAGGCTGAGGCAAAAGGATGGCAAGTTTAAGGTCAGCCTAGGCCACTTAGTGAGAACTTGTTTCAGAACAAAACCACACTTCACAGATGCAGAACTGGGGTCACCCATGGTCGTGAGCCACCATCTGGGTGCAGGGAATCTAACCCAGGACCTCTGGAAGAGCAGCCCATGCTCTTAACTGATGAGCCATCTCTCCAGCCCAGAGGAGATGTATTTCGTGGTTATTGTCTCAGCCAACTTTAAGAAAAGGTTATTATATAGATTGTGTGTGTGTGTGTGTGTGTGTGTGTGTGTGTGTGTGTGTGTGTGTGTGAACATGTATCATGGTATGAAGAGGGCAGAGAGAAACTTCCTGGAGAAGTCAGTTCTCTCCTTCTATCATGTAGGTCCTGGGGATTGAACTCAGGTCATTAGGACTCATGGCTAATGCCCTTACCTGCTTCAGCCAAATTTTATTTTGTTATTGGTATTTGTTGTTGTTGTTTGGGTTTTTTGAGATAGGGTGTCTCTGTGTACTTCTGTCTGTCCTGGAACTCATTCTGTAGCCCAGGCTGGCCTCAAACTCAAGAGATCCACCTGCCTCAGCCTCCCAAGTGCTGGAATTAAAGGCATATGCCACCCCTCCCCCCACCCCACCCCTGATAGCCAATTTTTTATTTTAAGTAGAATGTATTTCTCAGAGCACTTTCCAGTTCACTCACGACACACCTGGTCTCCCACACTCAACAACAACCCCCCGACTACCGACAACTCCAAACAGCCTTGCTCAGGCAGGCTAGCTTCTTCCACATCCTGCTCCTTTCTCACGGATCTAGGCTGTGGGCTTCAGCAGTTCTGAGCACTGGTTCCTGAGTCATCCTCCCCACCTCCAGCCACCTAATATTCCAGGCACTCATCCCTCTGCCATTCCCCCTTTGTAAAGAATGTCAGACGGACAGCCGGGAACACGGGCAGACAGATGGAAGCCAGGGAGCTGCCTCGTGTGCTAGCTCAGAGAACTGTCTCCCAGCCCAGGCAATGGATTCTTTTTTATTTTCTTGAGACTGAGTATCTAGCCCAGAATGGCCTCAGACTCCCTGTGCAGGCCAAGATGGTCTTGAACTTGTGTTCTTTCTGACTCGGTCTCCTGAGCGCTGGGAACCGAGCAGAGGCAAGCCTGATGCTAGGCAGGCTTCTCCCTAGCAGGTGAGCAATGTCCCAGCCCCCAGGTTATGATTTTTTCTAGGAATTTCTCAGTCCTGGACTTTGTTTCCTTTGGCGCTTCAGTTTCTCACTGTGGTTGACTCAGCCTGCCCTGCAGACTTGTCTAAAAGCTTCCCATTTAATGTTGAGTCTGGAATAAATAAATTCTCATCTGTCACCACGCTGAGTCACAGGGCATGTCACCCTCGGTTCACGAGCTCGCAGACAGGCAGCCTGGCCCTGTGACTGGCAGGAAGTGGCCCCAGCCAGACACCCACACCTTAAGGCGGAGCTACTTTCTCAGAAGCAGTAGGGTGGAGAGTGTGTCATCTGCCTGGAGTTTGGGAACAGCTGAAGAGGAAAGAAAGGCTCCTGGGGAAAACAGTGGGACCTGGGACCTCTTCTCACCTCACTGTAGGAAGGCCTTGTCTGGTCTGCTCCTTAGCGAGGTGAGATCAGTGAAGAGTCTTCCTCAGCCATAGGCAAGGGGTGAGCTCACAGGAGCCTTTGTGGCAAGAATCAGTGTGCCCTCTTTTGGTGGCTGGGGAGGTGAGGAAGCCCCAGCCACCAAGGAAGGGTCGCTCTGTCTCAGCAGGCTTTGCTGTTCTCTACACAGTGAGTGAGCATGCAGATGCTCCCCATCAGTGGAGTGCTCCCCATCAGTGGAGTGCTCCCCATCAGTGGAGTGCTCCCCATCAGTGGAGTGCTCCCCATCAGTGGAGTGCTCCCCAGCAGCACAGTGCCCCACTGGTTTTGCTGTTTGGCTCAGCTGCCCAGGGCCATTCTCTTGCTTTCATGAGCCCTAAAAGTTTCACCTTTATGTGCTCTCTCCCAAAGAAAATAAAAATCTGTTTTTACAGCTATGTTATTATAAGGATGGACATAAACCAGACTGGATTCATCATGTAAATAATAGTTCCTTTTCTTGTTCTGAGTTAGGATTTAAAAAACACAAAAACAAAAACAAAACTATTTATCTCTCTCCACCTATTCCTTTGAGGCAGGGTCTCTCCTTGAACCTGGGACTTGTGTTTTTTTCACTAGGCTGGAAGCCAGCAAGTCCCAGTGATGCTCCTGACTCTGCCACTCATGGATCTGGGGTTACAGGTATTTGAGATGGGTCTGGCTTGCTATGTGGGTGCTGGGATACAAATGCCAATTAGTAAGCACTCTTCAAACAGTTTCTCCAACCCTCCTTGTTTGTGTTTGAAGATGAACTAATGCAGTGCATTCTACTCTGGACCTCCTTAGAGCCAAGTATGATCTTGAGTTCCTCATTATCCTGTCTCTTGAGTCTTTCAGAGTGCTGGGATTCCTGGTGTGCGCTACTATGGTTTCTGTAGTACTGGGATTAGAGCTGGGACTGTGTGCATGCTGAGCAAACACTCATCAACTGAGCAATATCTGTACCCCTCCCCCTGCCCTTTTCTTGCTTTGAAAAGAAAGAGTAAAATTTTGTTTGATCTCAGCACCATTGAGTGTGGAGAGGAACGTTTTTTATGGTCCCCTGAAGCATTCTGGGAGGGCTTCTGCACACCCGTCCTGCTTAGTGGGTAAGCTGGCATGAGGTCTGCGTATGATAAGGTTCTCATCACTTCCAGAACAACTCAGACACTAGAGTCGGAGTGCAACAGACACACTAGGCTCCTTCCCTGGCTTTATCTGGAGGTTCTATGAGAGATTAGCTGAGGTCCTTCCAGCATGCTTCCTTGTGCTGATCCCTGGGCTGTGTGGATGCAGGAGAGCTATGGTGCAGCAGATTTGCTGAGGATGCCTCACCAAAGGTTAAAGGTCTAAGGGTCACTAATTTCTGAAAAAGCTAAGCCCCGGCCATGTGTTCAGGAACAGGGAGATGCAAGGTGGGTTGGGGAAAGTCAGTGTCAGAGGAGATCGCTGAGTGTTGAGGAAAGAATACAGGTGGGAAGTGACCCTGGGAATTGTCATTCACTCTGGCATGGCGGTCAGGAATGTCACAGAGGCTAACCACACTGCATCTGCAGTCAGGAAGCAGAGAGAGATGGCTGCTGGTCTCATATAGTGTTCTCCTTTTTTTTTTTTTCTTAAAGATTTAGTGCATGCATGAGTGACTTGCCTGCATGTGTGTCTGTGCATCGTGTGCAGGTCTGGGGCCAGCAGAAGCCAGAAGAGGGCATCGGAGCCCTGGAACTGGAGACACAGATGGTTGTGAGCCACCACATGGGTGGTGCTTGGAACAGAACTCTGGTCCTCTGCAGCCATCTCTCCAGTCCCCTGCTTTCTCCTCGTTATTCAGCATGGTAGAGCAGCCCATGGAATGGCACTACCCACATTCAGGCTCGGTTTTCCCCACCCACAGGACATTTGAATCCCTAAGATGCCTATTTATCCACACTGAGAAGTTAAGAAAAGAGGGAGAGAAGGCAGAACTGAGCTAGTGGAAGTCTGTCGTGTGACCTGCAGCAACCCCATGGTCATTGTATCACTTGGTCCTTCACACGCCCACTTAAAATTCCTTCCCTCTTATGAGTTAACACAACCTCGACAATTAACGACTTTAATTTGGAACATGCTTTTCTTGTTAAAACATCACTCATTCTCACTGTAGAAACAGAAAATACAAGGACTATAAAGAAGGTAAGTACCACCTGTGGTTACTCCCCTAGTTAATGCTGCCGTGGTGGTTCAGAGGGCTGGGAAGCCCCTGCCACCACTGGGCACAGGGAAGTTCAGGGGGTTCTCAGTCACGCGGCTCACGAGGGAAGCGGTTAGCCGGGAAGCCGGGCAAGTCCCACCTGGCTACTCGGCTTTACTGGTTTTCATGTCGTTATGTTTTAAAGTTGTTGCTCTTATTGTTGTGTGTGATGTGCGCTCCATGGTATGCGTGTGGAGGTCGGAGGACAACTTGTGGGAGTAGATTTCTCCTTCTAGCATGGGGGGCTT